ACATCACTGTAACGAGGAAATATTTCGTCAGGATGGCATAGTCACTGATTTTAAAAAATCATGGATCAGGTTGGTATAAATAATATCGGATGAACACATGAAGTTTTTCAAGCATGTGACAATTTCGGCAGCCTCAAAATTCAAAGCAACTTGATGTATCTCTACCATGAACAAACATTTAAGTGCCTCTATGCCAGTTGCACTATGGATGTAATTTTTTCTTCTGCAATTATCTAATAGTATCTTAATTTCCAATATGAATATTCAAATTGTCCTAAAATCTCAGCCAAACAAATATGTAACAGAGGTGTCACCTGAAAAGACGATGGCAATGTAGAGTTAACAATAATAAAAGATTATCATAAGCAATAATTAGAATTTTAAAAGCATACAAAACAAACATCAAGAGTTCTTCAGTAAAATATACATACCATTTTTTAAAAAATAACCGTGTCCTCATATCAAAATAATCAGACCATAAAAATCTCTGCTTATCTTCACTCCCAGGAAAATAATTAAGGGAAATGTTGGGAGACTGAAAAGTTTAGGCCGAAAATAAAACATGGAAATAAAATCACAAATCATTAAAGAAGTCTCCCCGTGTAAGCACTAATCCACCCAGTCTCCAGCGCAGGAACGCTTAAGAGCTCCAGTGCTAAACAGGTAGCCAGTCAGCCTAGGTGCGCTTTCTTCTGTCAGTTTCTGTTTCTTCTTGTTGTAAAGTCATGGCAGATCAAGGCCAGGAGACGGCGGTTATTTCTATGGACGGCCGGTTCTACGTGAGTGGCTCCTCCTGCTCACCGCGAAGCCACTGGGCAGCCATCTCAGAGGGACGGCTTGACTTGGAGGCCGGCACTGGGCAGGGGATTGAACCCAGGGCCCCTCTGGCCCCTCCCGACTCTTCTATGATCGCTTTCTTCTTTCAGGTTTTTCCTGATGATGCCATGATCCCAACACTGCAGTGACAAAGACGTGTTTGCAGAATTGGTTACTCTTCCATCCCTTTCAAGCAGAAGCCCCCTCGAGGCCGGATTTTGTCACTGGCTTTAGGAAGTCACTTGTATAAAACTCAGCCAAGGTTACCTGTTTTTCTCGGTAATGGAGCAATTTAAGGGTGTTCTGCGGAAGCCTCCTATGCTAATGCTTGCATTTATTTGAATAGCAGCAAATGCAGGTTTAAAGCTCACATTTTTCCTTTTTTTCCAGGCTGTGGATACAAACTGATGTATCCAGTGGTGTCATTCCTTCAGTGGGAGGGAACCGCTGGTGGAATGGATTTCCATCTTTCCTCTGCATATATCCTTGATCTGCCCTGGGGGATGAGAGATTTTCTGGAACAGACTCTTAGGGTAGAACAGTGTCCATGCAGAAATCTTCCTTATCCTATTCCCCCTGGATACTGAGGGGGGTGGGAGGATGTGGGGACAGAGAACAGATACCAGGCTGAAATCCTTTATATGAAGAACAGAAGCTGAAATCCTTTATATGAAGGTTCCCAACCATGGCTAAACCAAAATTAACTTACAGAGAGCATTTTGGATCCTGGATCCAATTTTCCTATCAGAAAACTACTTGATTGTATGTAATTGTGGATGCTTTATTCAAGAAAGAGTTTTCTTGGCTGAAAGATATTATAATGATCCATTTCCCTTTTATTTCCAAGGGGGGACCTTCACTGCATTCTTTTTGGACTTAGTCCAATGAGAGGCAGGCTTCAGTCCTCAATATTGTTGGACTACTGAGGAAGACCTGTTTATGATTAAAAAGCAATTGGTGTCTTCGTGTTCAGGGCAAAATTCTATCCATGTTTAGACTGGAGTAAAGGCCTACAATCCCCAACATCCCCTGTAGGACCTTTCTTTTTTCTTTAACAAGCATGCTTGTTCTTTTAAAGATCCATTAAGGTCAGTTGCTTTTAATTTTTGAGCTCATGGGAGCTGTTATAAATACTCAGTGGAAATGTGTAAGTGGCAGCTTCCAACACTGCGATTCAGTGATTTACTCCCTTAGAGCCATCCGGGCTTCAGCAAAGTTCCAGGGAAACCACGCTGCAAATATCGAATGACGTTGCAGAGCCAATAAGCCGGGTCTGGCTCGGTGGGCCACCATTCAATCTGCCAGATTTGCCCATTGGGTGGATTTTGTGTGTGAGACCCGATTTGTATGGACTCCTCTTTTATCTTCGTGAATGAGAGACCTCGGGTTGGAGCCAGAATTTGTCCTCCTGCAGGCGGAAAGGTTCCACTCCATCAGTATCCTTTCTTGTTCCTCCCCCTACTCCACTGCTCACCTGTTCATCGGGGTCTTGCAGGTGTTGTGAAGTATTTTCAAAGGGCTGGAGGTGTGCTTTTTCGTAGAAGGAAAGTCCACTCTGACCACCCCAGTTGTACGCTCCAAGTCTATTTGGTCTGATGTTTCTGTCTCGGGAAATGGTATTCATAGGAAGAAAGAGCTGTCTAAAATAAAGGAACCTCTGTCTTTTCTGGGGGCTTAGCCTAATTATAATTGGATATTTTGAAACATTTGTAAGCTGCATTTTAACTACTCTTCTGAGCCATTGAAATGAAATCAGTATGAAGGAAGCGACTTCAATAAATGTTTCTTAGATCAAGCAAAATGCATATTACAGACGTGTTTATTACCTCTTTTAAAAGAAGAAAATTCCACACTTGCTTCTAGCCACTTGAGAGGTGTTTTTTGTCCGTGCTGGATTTCATTACTTGTTGGAGAATACTTCTCCCCAGAGACCGATCTCTAATGATTACATTAAACCTGAACAAATTGTTTTAATGAGATTTCATGGGCTATAGACAGATCGTAACATTTGAGTCCCTGGAGTAAGTTTAATACACCTAAGATGACTACCATACTTCTATTTTATATGCAGAATCCCTCTAGCTATACTTAGCAATTCCTTCCAAAAATATAATTCCCTGTTTTGAGAAATTTTCTGGGGTCCCCTTCCGCCATCTGTGTCCTTGAAAAAGCTGCAGGTTTCCATCAAGTAGCCTGGAATACACACCTGAAACTGGCACAAGAAGGAAACTTGAGTAGTATAATTAAAAAACTTAATATTCTTTTTTGGGGTGGCAGGGGGAGAAATCCAGGCAACTCTTGATGTATCTGAAGAACTCTGATCCACAAAACTCTTCCACAGTAATACCTTTTTGTAGTTAAGGTACTGTAAAATAGTTTATGGGGATTGGGAGCTGTTAAGGCACAATCTCGTGCAAATATAGCCAGGAAAGGCGGCTACAGTTTCCAGCTGGGCAGGGTGGGAGCTGTGGACCATTTTTCTGTCTAAATTTACACAGGATCGCACACCGAAGTCAAGAAGAATTGGAGCAACTTCCCTAAGAGGAAAGTTTACAGTCTCGGAATTGGTGAATAAGGGGAGACCTTTAAAATTATACCTGGTGTGGAGAGGGATAGCTTTTTCTCCCTCTCTCGTAATACCAGTGATTCGTGGGAAACTGAAATAAGATTTCTGTTCTAATGCATCTGATCACTAGAAAAATCAGGTATTTGTATGGCTGCTTTTGAAAAGCATCCTCCAAAAATAAGATTACAGATGTACAGAGATCCTGGCACATTGCTTTCGATATAATCCTTAAACACTGCAAAGTGCCGAGGCTTCACACTAAGTACCCAGAAAAGAAAAGGCATCTCTACTTTTTTTTTTCCTGGTCATCACGCCCACTTATTTGGTCCCATTTTCCTCCCCCATCCCGCCCCCCAGCAGTGATGAAATTGACAGACACGGTCCAAATTCGTGAGTGCAGTGTGAAACCGCGGTTACAAATATATCTGTCATTAAGTCCCTTTCAACTCAGTGAGTTGGACCCACTGAGATGCATCCAAGTCAGTGGGTTTTAAAAACGATCAGTCACGACTAACTTGTCCTCATTCCAACCCAAATGAATATTAAGCTGAAATTCTACCTGAGAACGACCCCATTAACTCACTATGTTGGGGTAACACTGCTATTACTGTGCTATATATCATGGGATCTTATATTTACGTTTTTCTGTGGCTTTGCAGAATTTTAATTCTGGTCAGGAAGAATGAAGTGTCAAGCAGAGTGGCGCAGCGGAAGCGTGCTGGGCCCATAACCCAGAGGTCGATGGATCGAAACCATCCTCTGCTAATCTGTTTTAGAAAATAAAATTTAGCTAACAGGGCAAAACGGAACGGGAGAATGTTCGCGCCTTGGTGTTATTCTTTTGAATTTGTGTTAAAAACACGAGCGATCGGATAGAATACAAATGTAATGGAATGCATGGATTACTTGGTTCGCGAACAAAAGGAATGAAGCGCTGCAAAGAATTAAAAACCAGATTCCAGGCGGAAGAAAAAAAACTCAGGGGACTAGCAGAGGATGGTTTCGATCCATCGACCTCTGGGTTATGGGCCCAGCACGCTTCCGCTGCGCCACTCTGCTTCTCTGGTTTTTATCTCTATTGTATGAAGAAAAGAGATGCCGCTTCCGCTTTGCTAGTTTGCAAGGACGAAAGCTGCGGATGAAACAGGGAAGCTGTCACGAATGTAATCGGGGGCTACCCACAGGCAAGAGCCGGCTCCTTTAACCTAGCGACTTCCAAGTTTCATCACTACAGTCTAAGGCAAGATCGGCAGGATTAAAGGCATTAGAAAAAAATCATCTTTATTCCAAGGCACGTACGCTGCTTGGGCATTTAATCCCCGAGGTTAACCTTTCTTGAAAACAAGCAACGGGAATGCGGTCCCTCCATTCTCTTTCTGGGCTGCCTGTTACGTGGTTAGGAGAACGAACATTTAGAAAGAATATGCTTAGGACGGTATTTTTGTATCTGGTTTGCGAGGCGTAGGTTTGTTCCGTCCGAGCATGCGTAGGATTATGACCTCAATTAGCGGAAAATAGCACCCCCTATAGAAATAGTGCGAGCTCAAGCGGACTCCGGGGGATGGTGGACGGGAAGGCACGGAGGAATGTTGTCCATGGGGATGGACACGACTTCGCAACCAACAATACAAATATTGAATTTACGAGACTTCGAGTATTGCTCGAGGGCGTATTAGTATTAACATACGTTCTTCTACCCACACCAACTAGCCAGTTTACTCCTTATATTACTCCTTTTCTTAGAAAAGACAAGTAAGTGAAGGGCTCTTTCTCGGATAACGTGGGTGGCCCTAAAAAGGACCTTTTTGCTACTTCAGATCAGGCAGGGTCGGGTCGGCCGCTCAGCCGCCGAAGCCGTAGAGGGTGCGGCCCTGGCGCTTGAGCGCGTACACCACGTCCATGGCGGTGACGGTCTTGCGCTTGGCGTGCTCGGTGTAGGTCACGGCGTCGCGGATCACGTTCTCCAGGAAGACCTTGAGCACGCCGCGCGTCTCCTCGTAGATCAGCCCCGAGATGCGCTTCACGCCGCCGCGGCGCGCCAGGCGGCGGATGGCGGGCTTGGTGATGCCCTGGATGTTGTCGCGCAGCACCTTGCGGTGCCGCTTCGCGCCGCCCTTGCCCAGCCCTTTGCCTCCTTTCCCGCGCCCGGACATGCTTGCAACTCGTCTGCTTGGAAAACCAGAAACTGTGCCCCGAAGAGCTCAGCGGGCATCTTATATAGCCAAGTGTCCGACCAGAGAGAAAACTAAGGGGTGGAGTTGCCGCTCAACAGTTCTGGCGGGCTGAGTTCTATCCAATTAGAGGAGGCGGCCTAGTTTCAAACAAGCCAATCGAGAAGCTTTCTGTTCTTTCGAAAGTTGGCGCCTTCGTCGCCCGCCCGCCCGCCTGCCCGCCTGCTTAGAAAAAGGGAGTACAAAGCTGGCTCTTGCTACGTCCTTTTCCTACGTTATTTGAATGGCTTTAACCTTGGTAGCGACTTGCAAAATTAGCAACAGCACACACACTATTTTAACTAATTTCAAAAGTAATTTTCTTACAAGTCAATTAATATAGGACTTGTGGCAGCTGTTAAAACAAAGCACTCCTTTTAGAAAAACTGGAATTTGGAGCACAGAAAACAGAATAAGGTGGGCATTACAGTGCAGAACCAAAATGCTCACTAATATTCCGTGCTATGATTGTGTTCTCTTCTTCCATTTTAATGCATTTCATACAAAGGCAACAACTTTCTTGATTAACACACCAATAAAAATTAAGTGTGCATTCCCCATTGGTAAAAAGTTTTCAGCAATTTGAGATGGGTTAGGTGGGTGGATATACAGATGGGACTTTTAATTGATGCATGAAGCAATATTTACAAAATGCCTGAAAATGTTCTTTCTCAGGTTTCCAGTGAATTCACCCAGCATATAGATGCTGTGATAAACATCTTAACATCTTAGCTAGTGTCTGCCATGCACTAGAAAAAAGATGACAATACTATACCTTTTTCATGTAGACCATAGATGTTAACTAGAGATCAATTTTAATTTTTCAGGCCCCAAGAAACTTTAATCAAAGGGTGGTGAAAAGCAGGCAAAGAATGAAAAGAAAACCTTCAATGGTACTTCTGGTTTGAATATTGTATGCATGCAGTGCATGCATGTATCATATGTATGTATATGTATCATCTAAGTATGTATCATAGATGTGACTAGACTTTTACGGTATGTGTGGAATGTTATGCTTCAGTACGTGGGCTTTGTTTTCTTTATATTGATTCTTTATTTGATTTGCCTTTCTACCAAAAATGTTACTTGGGCTGCTAATGATAATGAGATCAAAGTGATCAATCAATTGATCAATAAAAGAATACATCAAAAGCATAAAACAACTAACCAGTTAAAAAGCCCTTCATCAGCAAGTGAGCTAAAGACATGCTAGATATTCTGAATAAAATATCTTTATTCTTTGCAGCTCCTGGTGTAGCAACAGCAGAGGAAGATCCAGCAAGGCCCAGAATCTGTGAGCAGCCAAGAAAATTCTTTCATGCATTTCTGACAAATATGTTTTAGATGGCAGTAGGATTGACAGAAGAGTCATCTTAGGAGATCCAATGATCTAAGCAGAGATGGCAGTATTTCACATAGCCAGGTCCCAAGCAGTCGCTGTCAAGTTGTCTCCAAATTATGGCAAATTAATGAAAGCCCCCCAAAAGTACTATCCATGATGCCCCTGCTTGGCCTTCCTTTCCTTTTTCTGCCTTTGACTTTCCCCAGATAGTCCTGCCTTCTCATGATGTGTCAGAAGCATGACAGCCTCAGTTTTATCTTTTTTGCTTCTAGGTTGATTAAATCAAGTTCTGGATTGATTTAATCTAGCACTCAGTTGTCTATCACTGCAGGGTATTCACAAGACTGACCTTGAGCAGCCTATCTTGAACAGGTCCATTTTCTTCCTGCCAGCGGCACACCCACACACAGTGATCACAATTAAAACAGTGTGGATCATCCTGGCCTTGGTCTCCAGTGAAACATCCTTACATTTGATTATCTTTTCTAGTTCCTTCATTGTTGCCCTTTCAAGTCTCTGTCTTCTTTGAATTTCTTGGCTTCAGTCTCCTTTTGACTTGATGACTGAGTCAAGGTATACAAAATCTTTCACTGTTTTGATTTCTTCATGTTGACAGTGAATTCTGTAACTCTTCTGCAGTCCTGAGTTTTGTTTTCTCAATATTCAACTGCAGTCCTGCTTTTACGCTTTCTTCTTTCATCTTTGGTCCCAAGGCAAATATGGTTTCATAAGATCACTGAACAGTGCCAAGAAACAGACTGGTAACCTGTGAGGCAGTTTCTACCAAGGAATCACATGCGGTGTGTAACTATTTAAGTTTTTATTTAGATTTATATCCCACTTCTTCCTTTTGACAAACTGAAAGTGGCTTACATCGCTCTCCTCTCCCCTCTCAATCTTACTCCCACAACAACAGCCCTGTGAGGTAGGTTGGGCTGAAAGTTTGTGACTGTCCCAGAGTCACCCACTTGGCTCATGGCCAAGCAGGGACTAGAACACGGATTTCCTGAGTCCCAGTCCCACACCTTTAACAATCACATCACAAGAGCTCTCCTAGCCCTAGTCAACCATCTGAGGCAGCTGCAATGTTTGAACTTTTCAGCAGCAACTCTAACTGAAACTCATCACAGTGGTCCAAATGGGATGTACTAAAGTAGCTTCACCATGACAAGATCATGGCTGGCACATTAGACTCACTAAGTACACTCCTGAACACAAGCGAAAATGGGCATCAGATTCAGGGCTGAATCAGGGGGCCAAAGAGTCACCTTACGTCTTCAGGGACTGTGTAGCTGCCTCGAACACAGGCTGAATTCCTGTTCCATATTCAGACTTTCAACCAACCAGGTGCCCCAGCCTGGATCAGTTTGATTTACCCTCATCCACTCTATTGATGTAACATCATCACACTTTGATGAAAAATGAAAGCAGTTTCTTGTGGTCATGAAAGGAGAGCGGAGTTGGGTGTCAGTCTGCAAACTGATAAGAATTAAGCGTCTGTTCTAGAATTTCCTAAATACAAGCAGTATGGGGCTTAAGTACCTCACAGATTAACGTGTAACAGCATGTTTTAAGATTTTAAGAATACAGACATTTCAACTTCTTTGTCCAGAAACTGTTTTAAACAGTGGGAGCACAAAACATACCCACCCAGGAAGTTTATCATGCAAGATGTATGAAGACATGCTGGCATAATTTCTGGAATTTTGCCAATGTATTGCAGTGAGGAAAAGATACCCTAATTGAAAATTATTTACTGTTATGACCCAGCCAATTCATTTAACATACATCTTCAAATTGTCTATTTTAAGAGTAGGACCGAGAACATAAAAATAACTTGTAATAGGTTTTTCTAGCAACTTAAAGCTCTTTTACTGAGAGGGTAGGTGGCTCTTAAAAGAGCCTTTGTTTTTCTTCGCGATTCTAAGTTTACTTGGAGCTGGTGTACTTGGTGACGGCCTTGGTGCCCTCGGAGACGGCGTGCTTGGCCAGCTCGCCGGGCAGCAGGAGGCGCACGGCCGTCTGGATCTCGCGCGAGGTGATGGTGGAGCGCTTGTTGTAGTGCGCCAGGCGCGACGCCTCGGCCGCGATGCGCTCGAAGATGTCGTTGACGAAGGAGTTCATGATGCTCATGGCCTTGGAGGAGATGCCGGTGTCCGGGTGCACCTGCTTCAGCACCTTGTACACGTAGATGGAGTAGCTCTCCTTGCGGCTCTTCTTGCGCTTCTTGTCGCCCTTCTTCTGCGTCTTGGTGATGGCCTTCTTGGAGCCCTTCTTGGGCACGGGCGCCGACTTGGCTGGCTCGGGCATGGCGAGGCTCTGCTAGCGCTAAGCGGAAGAAGACACAAAACCAAATGCTGGCGCGCAATGCGCGGCTCTTCGATTTATACAGCGAGCGCGGCCAGAGGCGCTCAACCCTCCGCTTCGCTATTGGTCCGTTCAGGCGACGAGGGGAAGCACGGCAGCTTTCCGGAAAGCCACCCAATCATCACAGGGGATGGCGTCGCGCCTTGTGTTTTCATTGGGTGCGACGGGAAGCCGCGTCGCCATTGGGCGCCGCGGCGCCTTTCCCTCTCCAGCCAATAAGAATCGCCGGGCTGAATCTCGGGGTGGAAATAAAAGGGCTCGGGTCGCCTTTGGCGGAAACATTTCTCTCGGCGCTGAGCGTTTGTGAGCCGTCTCCAAGCAGCGCAATGTCCGGACGCGGCAAGCAGGGCGGCAAGGCGCGGGCCAAGGCGAAGACGCGCTCGTCGCGGGCCGGGCTGCAGTTCCCCGTGGGCCGCGTGCACCGCCTGCTGCGCAAGGGCAACTACGCGGAGCGCGTGGGCGCCGGCGCGCCCGTCTACCTGGCCGCCGTGCTCGAGTACCTGACGGCCGAGATCCTGGAGCTGGCCGGCAACGCGGCGCGCGACAACAAGAAGACGCGCATCATCCCGCGCCACCTGCAGCTCGCCATCCGCAACGACGAGGAGCTCAACAAGCTGCTGGGCAAGGTCACCATCGCGCAGGGCGGCGTCCTGCCCAACATCCAGGCCGTCCTGCTGCCCAAGAAGACCGAGAGCCACAAAGCCAAGGCCAAGTAAGCGCCTCCAGGTATTTTGGAGAAGCGCCTCGCGACTTCAGAACCCAAAGGCTCTTTTAAGAGCCACCCACAATTTCAGAAAAGAGCCGATTCGGTCATGCCCGTTCCCTGGAACTTTGAGATCAACTAGTATTTTGGCTTATAAAGGCATGTCTTAAGGCCTCCTGGAAAACGTGAAGCCCCACTTTGAGATTTTTTTCTGTGTGCCTATATTAACATCCATTGACTCGCTAAAACGTGCACTTGTTATTCCAGTTTCAATTACATGGTTTTCTGAGTGTAGACAGGGAGTATCTACAGTAGGTTTCCATAACAGATGTTGGTGGCGTGGTGCTCTGTATATTTTAGAGGAAAAAGTCCTGGGACTTTTCCTGCCTAGCTATGTACAGCATTGCTACCACACGCCACAAAGCGGAAGCTAACTGGGCACAGAGAAGGCACGCTGGCAACCTGTGTTCCCGGGCAGTTCGAGCTCAGCGGGTTTCTAAAAAAACTTGATTTCTTTGCAGCTCTCTTTTTTCCTTGGACTAAGTCTGGCTGAGATCAAGCTTAAGTAGGTGTAAGATTGAGGACTTGCCATTATGTCTTTCCGCTAATTTTGCAATGTAAATTTGGTACGCGCTTCTCAGAGCTTTGCACAACGTCTACGATACACATATGACTGACAAGAAGACACGGTGACCACAACGCAGCCCGCTCGCGCAACAATTAAGCTGTCCCAAAGCACCGCTGCAACGCGGGCGTAATGCAATCTCGGCGTGTTTCGTTACAACCTTGTAGCGAAGCTCGGCGTTGCTACTCGATTCAGCAGCGTAATTCATTGCTACACTGGAGTCGCACGAGTTGTTGAATCTGGTGAGTGAAGGGGTATGCGATTCCCAGCACCCACCGCCGAAATAGCTCAGTTGGGAGAGCGTTAGACTGAAGATCTAAAGGTCCCTGGTTCGATCCCGGGTTTCGGCAAGCTATTTTATCCTTCCACTAAAGATGGCTTGGAATTCTGTGTATTTCTTTCCTGTTTTGACTGTTTCTTATCCCTGCTAAATATGAGGAAAGAAACCTGTACCCTCCTCCGTAAAGGAAAACTGGTCTCTGCCCCCAAGGACTTCATAATCTAAAATTCGGCCAGGGAAGTGGAGTAACAGAGAAAGAAAATGTTATTGTCTCAGTGATATATGCTCAAGTGTGACAGCCCAGTCAGGCCTGGCCTGGAATTTGAGTTACCCTGTTTGCTTCCCATAAGTGTCAATGCACATCTGCTCTTGCACATGTGTGTACAGTTTGCAAACTGAGGAAAACCTGTTATGCAAGTGATCTAGTTTACTCTTAAAGGTGTCCAAAAAAGAATTAGAAATAGACAGAGGACCTGGTCACAGTCAATCAGGAATCATAACACCCTGCTCCATGCTTCATCCCAGCCTACCTATCTGAGTTAGCCCTTGACAGAATCTCGGTTTTCTATTTGTGCGGAATAAACACTCAGACTCAGGGGAAGATCTACACATCTAGACTTCTACGGCTTTATTGGATTGGTGCCCCGGTTCCTGCAGTAACTAAGGACAGCGTGACCCCGGGTAGAGTCTAAGCAACTCCACGTTCACAGCCCATGTACAGCCGTTTTTATAGCCTGCTAGTCACATACACCAATACAGCATGTTAGGTTTCCAGACAGTGTTGGTACAATAACATCTCGATGTCTTTAGGCAGGCATAATGTTCTAAGCAGATCTGAAATATTGGTAAATATCTCTGATTGCTTTATTGACATGTCAGTTAAGTAGAGTTTTTTGCAGTTTGGATCAGCCTGTGTCTGTTTAAACGTGCAAATGTGTCTGGCTGAGGAACCATTGAGGAAAACTGGTTTGATGCGGGTGCTTGCCTCCGTGGAACTACATGATTAAAAGGGTCCGTTCAGAAAGAAATGGACACCATTGTCTCTGCTCTCTGAGGCTGATGGGAATGCCAGCATCTCCCCACTGATAGTGTTAGCCTCCAGCAGCTTCTCAGTCCAGCTAAGAATTCCATCTTCTTAAAATAACAGCAATGCTAAACAGTCACCTGACTTGGGATTCTTCTGCTTTCTGAGAAAGAGGTGCAGGTTTGATTTTATAATACAAAGGCTCATATAAGCAACCTTTTTCTACCAGGATTTATTCTGGATTTCCCCAAAACCCTTGTAAAAGAAACATGGTCCTAGTCCTCAAGAAAGGCAGTTCTCATGTGTCACAGACTGTTTCATCCTTCAGTACTTCTCATGTGATGTTCCTGAGGCCCTCCCTTTCTGCCCCCGTAAGTGCTCCTGGAAATGCCGTGTTGGATGAAGTCACTTTCCAAAGGGCAAATGAAGGCACACTCTTGTGCAGGTCCTACCTGGCATTCCCCAGCCAGCCTGGGCCTAGGAGCTCTTCAGCAGAAACAGAAAAACAGATAATTGCTGGCTGGGGAATGCAGGGAAATGTAGAGCATCTTTCTGCCTAAACCTGCA